ACAAGGTCATTGTTTCGACCATAAAACTTTCGAAATGATGCTTTTAAACGAGACTGCTGATATTTTTTGTTTCATCGACTTGTTTGTCAATAATTTAGGAATTGTGCATTCGTAGAGCGCTCTCTTGCAGTATCGAATCAACTGAGAGATATAAACTCTGTATTCAGGTGATGAAGGTATATTGCTGCACAAGTAAGGGAAGTTGACAGTTGAAAAGTTTAAGTCCTCATATTTATCATAGAGCTTGGTTGTTAGATTACCAGTAACGTTTTTTTTTATGTAAATGATACTTTGGATTATGGCTGTTGCTTATTCTAACTTACGAAAGACAATAATGAGATACATGATAAAGATCCTAACTACGTATAAAATGACTGTTCTGGAGGAGTATCATTCATAATCTTGATACCAGTTCTACAGCATGTAAGTTCAGAATGCCGGAGATCCCTATCTTTCCTTTAGGTAGCACCCCGCTCATTCTCTTTCTATCACTGCCTACTGGTACTCATTGTTTTCTTCTTTTCTTTACACTCTCGTACACTTGATGCTATTTTTTTGCAAACCCCTTTCTTCTCAATGCATAATGTTCATTTACAGTCTAATAAAATAAAGATACTTTTACTGGGTTAAATGACTTTTATTCCTTCATAAATTTGTCGAGTTGAAAGACTGTTGTTTATTATCAGGTACTAATCAATGACAGTATACACTCGACACATTCTCTTTACTTGTTATATCAGTAGATAATGAAAGCTTTGTTCATATAATCTAGAACAACGGCATATGAATAGAAATCTGAGAATTATAACGTTTAAGAGATTTTTTTCTTAATTCTGATTTTAATTAAGGAATGAAGCTTATTGTAACCTAAATTATAGGATCTAACATAACTTTGGACAATTCACACTTTATAAAAGCGTAAGCTGCCCCAAGTTATACGATATAAACTGAATCTCCTAGCCAGTCAAATGGAGTGTTACAACTAAAATTTTGAATTGTAAGGAAATGGTGCATTATAACATCAATAAAAAGAAAATTGTCCCCGAAACTCTGTCTCTATAACAGTGAAAAGTTATCTTAAAGTAATTTACATTGTTTTTTGTTGTTGTTCTTTGTTTGGTTTTTTTTCTTTTTATTTTCATTCATTATTCATTTATTTTTCTATTACTTCACTCAGTTTGAACTCAGTGATGTTTTCGCTTATTTTCTTCTTTGCATGTGTTGAAGAAGCATAATTATTTCCTGGAAATCATTAAGTCATTATAATCAAAGTCAATGAACTTCTGTAAATACAAACATTTCCTCACACTGTAAAGTAATAAAGAAAAAAATAGTTATCATAACAACAAAGCTTGCGTCATTTCTGCGCTGTCTTCGCCTATTTTTCATCCAAAAATTCTTCACAGAGCATCTACTTAGTTTGTTATATAGATTTTCTACAGGTATTTTTAAAAGTTTGAATCTAAATCGTGATTAATTTTGTTCATTTGTTCTTTTGGAATATGTATTAGGTTTATTAAAAACCCATATGAACTGAATTGAAGATTTATATTTTACAATATATAAATATAAATTCACATAATTATATATATTTATGGTAGATTGGACCTTCAATTAATGCAGTTTGTAGTAGAAAATTAATGCAGTTTGTAGTAGAAAAAAAAACATGCTGATTATAATAAATCTAATACATATCTCACGAGAACACATGAACATACATCATTACAATTAAGATTGTAAGCATCTAAAAGTACGTGACGGAAATCTCAGTATCAAACTAAGTGGAAGCTTTGTGAAGATAATGGAATTTAAAGTTTCTTGAGGAAAAAGAAGTGAAAACAAAGGAATCGACATAAGTTTGATTGTTACAATTAGTGATTCTATGGTAAATCACTTTTAAGTGTGAGGAAATTTATTTTAATTATATAAGTTCGTTGACTCAGATGATTATGGTTTAATGATTTTCAGAAAAAAGCATATGCTTTTCTGGGCTTTAATTGACCAGTTGGATTAAATCACACATATGAAGGAGGATCAACCATAATCATTTGTTTTAAAAAGAAAAATGTTGCGATTAATCTGAATATTCGAGGACGAGACACGTTTTACATATATATACATTTATAGAGAAACGACATTCTTTTGCATAAATTAATGTCCTTAAAATTCTTAGAACTTTTTAACACTTAATGCTTTTCTCTGACAGTAAGTATTCTTTATTGGTGTCTGACTATAAGTATTTTTTATAACTGTCTGACAACGAGTATTCCTTGGAGCTGTTTAAATTTAATAACAGAGATTTCTAAAATTCAAGGAGCAGTCTTCTCATCGACACTTTCATTTTTTTAATGTTAAATTATTGTATCTAGCGGTACATTGTAGGTAAATTCATATAAATCACATGGTTATAATTGGTTAAGACTTCAAATTTTCACTCCATACAAACAAAAACTAGAAAACGTTTCTTAAAGCAATATGAGCTGCATTTTTGAAAATTTTATTTTGCTGTAAAATGGTGTTAATATGAAAAATTTGTATTTAACTTCAATCTTTATGACCAATTAGACTAAAATAAAGCAGAAAAAAGACTTCTAAATACAGTCAAATATACAGTTTTATATAGGAAATCATTGTTGTACAGGACGACATTGATGTAATTTTATTCAATCGAAGCTTGATAGTTCTTTCATCGCAAATATGAACAACAAAGGTTTATCAGCGTTATTTTTGTTCTGTCAGTGAAATAGTTATTTACAATTTTGTAACAAAGAATTCCGACATCAAAGTTGCAGCTCATATTGCTTTAATTTTTACCACTTTTAATTAGTTTCTCTAGTATAGGATAATTATTTTTAGAATGATGAGAAGTTGGACGACTATTTGTTTTCAGTTTTAACTTAAATAAAATGTACTCATTATGATCATAATGCAGGTTGGGATAGAGTACTAGTATATACTAATCATAAATGAATAAAAGGGCTTATTTGTTGAAAAATTGCATTCTTGACTCCATTTTTTGAAAAAAGAAATATATATATCTAACAAATATACATAGATATTTATGTTTTAACCTCATAAAACACTCACATTTTCAATTTAAAAACGAAAACAATAAACAAACCAAACAAAAAACACGATTAGCCTTTAACTTCTTACTAAAACATTCAAAACCCAATTTTCTTATATTATAGTGTGAAATTAAATAAAGTTTTATAGTTTTGTACTTATATAGGGGGAGAATTCAATGCATTATCCACTAATTATCAAATATTGTGAAATAAATATTTGATTTCTATGAATATCTTGAATGTACAGCGCGTTTAAATAGAACCATTTCCCCCTTAGTTTGGACTAAAAATAAGGCGTGGCATTTTCGGAGCCACATGTTTACCCCCTGTCAAATGGCGAATAGATTCTCATTGGTTAAGAAATTAATAACATCAGGAACTTTAAATTGTTGTTGACAACGATGAAAAGACCTAAGCTCCACCTCTTTGCAGGACGAAACAATGCAACTGGTTATTCGATACACTAATTGACATTTGCCCGAATTTCTATCCCATGTATATTTCAACAGTGAAGGAAAGCTGTGTAAATTTCAGAAGCTAATTATGTAACGTCGAGAATGCCACGCCTTACTGAAAGTCCAAACTAAGCTGAAAATGGTCCTAATAAAAGGAATGTGTGGCTATAAAGACTGGCCCTGGTATTTCGGAAATCTTCGTTCTTAATACTGATCGTCTGCTGTAAGAATACCAATTGTCAGCTGAAAAGGACGCAGATAGTCAACTGGAAGGAAAAGTAAGTGTCAGCTGTAATGAAAACTGATTGACAGCTGGAAGGAAAACTTATCGTCAGCTAGAAGGAATACTGATTGTCAGCTATAAGAAAGACCTAATACTAGATTCCAGCTGTAAGAAAAACTGATTTTCAGCTGTAAGAAAAACTAATAGTAATCTAGAAGGAAAACTGATTGTCAGCTTTAAGGAATACAGATTGTCGGTGTAGGGTATACTGATTGCCATCTAGAAAGAACACATTGTCATTTAGAGGGAAAAATGATTGTCAACTGGAAGGATGAATAATAGTCAACTGGCGAAATACTTATTGTAGGTATAAGAAAACATTATTGTCGGTTTGAAGGAATACGTATTGTCAGTTGTAAGGAAAACGTACTGTGACAACTGGAGGAAATATTGATTGTCAGCTGTAAGGAATACTGATTGTCAGCCAGAAAGAAAACATACTGACAACTGTAGAAAATACTTATTGTCATCTAGAAAGAAAATCGATCGTCATCTAGAAGGAAAACTAATTGTAAACTGGAAGGAAAGTTTTGTCAGCTAAAGGGAAAACAATATTATTGTCAACTGGAAGGAAAACATGCTATCATCTAAATACTCAGTATAGAAATGATTGATTGTCATCGGGTTAAAGGAAAACAGATTGTCATCTACATGTACAAATGTAGAAATAAACTTAATTGTCAGTGGAAGAAATATTTATTGGCAGGTGGAAATGGATACAAAGGTTTACAGATAGATGAGAGTAAGATAGCCTCACTATATTTATAATATTAAATTATTGGTCTTGGCATCATATGAAAAACGTACAGGTATCTCTTTAAAAAAAAAAAGAAGAAAAACCATGCTAATATTCCACTTATTTGATTCGAATTTAACAAACAGAGAGAGAAAGTTATCACAATTTTCTTAAAACATACATGACTTTATTCAATACCTGGTATAAACAATTTTTTAGTAAGTTCCTTTTGAATTGTTTTACCTTGCACAATACTTAGCTATACAACACTAAAGAATAAACAATTATCAAAAGGAAATCTAATCTTCAGCCGATATCAATATTTAAATCAAAATGTAAATTTTACAAATTTTTAAAAATATATCAAAAAAAAAAAAAAAAAAAAAAAAAAACATGACAAAGACGTGTCGATGGACCCCTGGAATGACTTACATATTTGGAGAAAAATTGCATTTCAGCAAATGATATGCTATATCAAATTAATCAATCAAATAAATTAATTTATTCAACTCATTATAACAGCTAATTATAATGTATTTCAATATGAAATCTCGCCCTTAAACACACACGTATTGAGTTCTCAGTACCCTCTTATGTACATTATCGGGCTGTGACATTCGTTTCTCAACAGCACATGATGTTTTTGAGGACGCTCTTACATTCCGTTCGGAAGTGTTCACTTACAAATCCGTAAATAAGTGGATTCAGGGCATTTGAAAGGAAAAATGAGCGAATAAAGAAGTGGTAAGCTGTCTTTTCAGAATCACTAAGGTGATTGAAGAATTCAGAATCAAAGTTCCGTATGGTCATCAGTACCGTGTAAGGTACAAAAGATATGATGAATAAAAGTGTAACTGCAAATAACATAATTGTTGTTTTTCTTTTACGGTAATTCTCTTGGGACGAGAAAATAGTTCTGCGACTTTCGCCATAACACGTGCAGCTGAGGTGACTTTGTCGACCCTCGGTGAAAAGTTTCCGTTTTGTGGCAGCGGTCAATGGTTCTTCGGGAGAAGACCGTCTCTTAGTGGGGGCTTTAATTTCTCCTTTGGATGACTTTTTAATTTCTTTATTTGAGGTTTCCTCTACCAATGTCACATCATGAGACCCATTCTGGTTAGTGGCGACTGTCATTGACATTTTACGAGATACACCGTCTGGGTAAAGATTCGCTCGAGACATCTTCCTGAGCTCTTTTCCAGCATTTTTGACATGATACAAGATTATTCCGTAAACAACAAGAAAAAACACGTCAAGCACTGAGTTCCCCGCCATTATAAAAAACACAAAAACGGTTGGGTCTATACGAATGTTATCGGAATACAAACACATTTTGGCATACATTTTATATTCACCAACTGTAATTGGTACATTTGCTGTTCCATATATCAAGAGAGATGGCCAGGCTACCGCCAAGGATGCCAGCATTGAAACGGCGACGATCTTTTTTGCTGTAGATCTAGAAAGTTGAATCTTAAAAGGTTTACAAATTCGCTGTAACCTATCAAAGGCAATGCCCATTAATATCAAAGAAGACCCATCATTCGTCCAGAAAGTAAGGAAACGAGAAGTTTTGCAAAGATTTGAATCGTCAGTTTGAAGAATGTTTATGATATAGTACAACTCAACAGGCATTGTGAATAAGCAATTAAATAAATCGTTGAAGGCCAAAGCAAGGATGAATATTCTGCTTGTAGATTTTCGCCATCTCTTCATGTAAACTGCGATGATAAGGATATTTCCAGGAATGCCGATAATGATCATTAAAACTGTTAAAATAAGACTTGGAATTAAGTGTTTCCTCACAGCGATGTCATTTGCAATTTGTAGCAATTCTGGATCGTCGAGAATTCTTGATGTCTTGTTTGCAAAAATCAACGAATCGTTCATGATGAACATACACTTACTTCATTTAAGCTCCATAGTTAAACATTCCATTAAGACAATATCCACATAGTCACAAAATATTTGAAATAAAACTTGTATTATTCCATTGTACAGCTCATATCTCCAGGCATTGATACACTAATACTATGACGATATTGTATGTGATCAAGAGTGTTAAGCATTGAACGTCAGCATAAGACAAAGTGAACAGCTTTTTCTGTACATATAAACAATAACGACGTGCTAATCCATTGTTAAAAATTACCACAAATTATTATTGTTTCCAGTGATTTGAAAACGAAAATTCTGGGATTTATATAGGTCACCAAAATTATTTTTCAGTATGAAAGTTCTGTAAAATTTATTTGTCCTAATCGGTTTCGTACACAGGTTTTATATTTCCTTTACTTTCTTCACTTGAAACACTATTTTTCATCGTAAGTGTATGTCTTATATGACACAAGTTAATCCACATCTAGATGCCTGATATTGCTATACATGTATAAGTGGGGCTTCCGTTGAACTAATGGTTCAGATTGTGTGGATAGGAGTGGGAGATGTGTATGAATTACTGGGAGACAGTACACGTCACCTTTATTCTTTGTTAATAACCCAACTTTCTGTGTCTACACATCACAATGCCGTCATTTCAACACCTCTTTTTTGTCAAGCCCTGCTTAAAATCTTATGTTTTGCAACAGGATTTGGTATCCTTATACTTATATTTTCAGTAGTTTTCTTCAGTATTTTCGGTACATACTGAATACTTCGTCATAAGTTTTTCTGTCAAGAAATGAAGATTGATTTCAATGATCTGTAATTCACAGCAATAAGGACATTTCTTCAAGATTTTTTTCTACTGCTTGACACGTTCTAATACTTTCTTTGTAAATATTGTATGGCTTTTGATACTTTATGTATGGAAGAGGGCTATCTAAGTTTTTGGAACTTGTGTCCAATCCCTTTGACATACATGTTGTCAGTAAAATATGTTCAAAACAAAACAATTCTTTCTCATAAAGATTCTAAAAATGGTATCATCAAGCTTTTGAAAGAGGGAAGGGGTGTTTATCACAACATTTCGGCAAATTGACTCAAAATTTTATGTGTTGTCAAAGAAGATCAAATATAAGAAGCATTTATAAACTGGTCATTTTACCTCATACAGTCAAGTCTGACAATGTTTATACTACAACTATCATGACTATGAACAGATGAAATACTAGTGCTTTATCGTCTTCTTGTGACTAAATTATTTGAAATCGTCAACAATGTAGTAATTTGTGAACTGAATAAATGTTTCGCTTTGTTAATCTTTTTCAAGATATTTTATTTAAAATCTTTTTAAAATCTACTAATTTTTTTTCTGCATAACACTATATTTTGCTGCAAGTTAGAAATATTGACGTGTTTTTGACATAAATATGCAATTTTGTTGAAAGTACAAATGCATGAAGCATACGCATAAATGATCAAGAGCCTTTAAGAAGATTTCAAAGAAATGTTCTTGAAAAAAAGAAGCTTTAGAACCATAAGTGATAATAATACTTTGCGCCATTAGATAATACTACTTCGAGGCATGAGTGTTCAATACAAGTCAAATATAGAGATTGTCGAAAGTGAAGATGTTTAAAGCTTCATTTGTTTGTCTAAAACCATTGTCTCAACTGACATCTTAGTTTTTCATCATCTTCCTTTGATAGTTATCAAAAATACCAAAACATTTTGTTAAAAGCACTGATATCTTGGAGCAATCATGTTCTCTTAAAGACACGAGTCTTTTAATCTGTACCATCAAAAACTTTTGCCTTACAAGTTTTAATGCCTTAATCTTAATTGCTTATGTAACTAATGAAAAACAACTCAGAATTATGATAGTTAAATGGGACGTACTGAAATTTTGCCAATAAAAATTATCAAGACACATATACAATTGTATTTTGTGCAGAAGTATTGGAGAGAGAGAGAGAGAGAGAGAGAGAGAGAGAGAGAGAGAGAGAGAGATGCTTCAGATATTTTTAAAACAATTAATTAAATTATAAACAATAACAATGAAAATTTATATTTGGATATTAAATAACATTTAAGATGTAAATATTAATTGAGTACCAAATGCAAATAAAAGGAAATAATTGGATAAATGTGAAACATGTTTATTTCAATCCATTATACTGCACACATTCAATGAATTATTTATAAAACAATCATTGAATAACATTATAAACATTTATAATGAAAAAAAAATACATTGATTCAATTACTCATTTCATCAAACCATATATGCTTATCAATCGATGTGAGCTGTAATAGGGATGCGATATATGAACACAATATTGTGCTGGAATTATTGCTCGCAAGAATTACATTTCATTTCACAATTAACGATCTGCTGATGGCTTTACGAAAATTAGCCACATACAGTAGGTGTTAATTCTATTTTATTTATATTTTGAGGACTGGTCATTCTAACTACAAAACCCCTATGAAATTAAACTCTAGATGGAGTGAAGTACATATAAAGAAATATATGGAAATGATGAAGTGCATATCAAGCTTTAAAAATCCATTCAAACAATACGAATCAGGTGCAGAGCAAACACGGACATCTCAATCTTCAGAGATGGGATCAGGTGTCACGGAGGAGTCAGCATCCCTTGCCGACTGGTCACATCAGCCGTAAGTGTTTTTGACATGATCGGGAAATTCCGAGAGAAAAACAACGTTCTCAAGTCAGTGTATAAATAATGTTCTAACAATAAGCTTGATAACAGTCCATCAGCATACGACTTATAATGATAGATTGTATTTTCTGTCAAGGTCATATCGGCCAAAGACTTACGAAATGATGACTCCAATCGAGAATGTTGAAATTCTTTTTTCACCAACCTGTTTGTCTATAACTTACCTCGTTTGATAAATTCGGAATAAACAAGTTCAATCTCAACAGATTATTGCTCGCAAGAAACCAATTTCAAGGACAGAAGATAAGGTTGAGTCTGAAGACATATTTTATAAAATCTTATCTCTGATTTTCTATTTGTGTACAAACGCTTTCTCTCCCTAAATTTTCTTTGTGGAATTAAGATTTATGTAATAAAAAAAAATGATAAAATTTGTTTTTGCTAAAACATTACACACTAGGTTAACATATGAAACTGTAGCACTATTTGCTAACCCTTGATATTATACTTTCATGTAAATTACTTGAATCTGATTCGTCGAGAAACATTTGATAAAAAACACTACTACCCGCTGAATATTGAAACTCCTGCGTAGCAACAGTCAACATTGCTTGACGACGGGTGGTATAACAAAAAATAGCGACTGCGCGGGATTTATGTGCCCACGGTTCAGTGTTATATGTATTTGTATAAAACATTCAGTATGATGTAATAAATATTGCATGTAGTTGAGAGTAACATTGAAAATTTTCATCCCTCGAAAACCATTGTCAACCTCGGCTGCGCCTCGGTTGACAATGATAAAATTTTTTTTGCTAAAATTTTCAATGTTACACTCAACTACATGCAATATTTATATATTATTTCCATTCCAAAACAAAACTCCTTGCCTAAAATAAAATACAACCGAGCTCATAACATCAAACAGACTTTCTATTCAGTATTCAGGGAAGATAATAATCAAAGAGGTAACAGAGGCAAACAAACACCCTTTCATTCCCCAGTAATATGTTGTATTAAACAATGTGCCTTTAAATGACACCAAACTAATTTACGCCATACATTTAATAAGAAACTTGGTTGCATGTCCTATTTTCTAAGCATCATGGATGCTATGTTTCATTTTATAATTTAATCCTCTTTTATAAATATATTGTTTTACTTAATTAATCGTCTGATTTGAATTTGCAGGTACATCAACTGCCATTAAGCCTTTAATCAAATTATGAAAGGATTGCTAATGAATAAGAACACTGTTCACGTAGGATGAAATATATGGATATAACGAACAGTATTCAAGCTCAAAATCCATTAAACAATACAAATTTTGAAGCAGAGCAAATACGGACCTCCAAAACATCAGAGGAGGGATAAGTTTCCATGGAGGAGTGAGCACCCTCTGCCGACCGGTCACACCCGCTGTGTGCTCCTTGTCATTATTGTGTATAAAATGGCCTGACAATTAATAGGAAAAGCATCAGTCAGCATTTGACGTATAATTATAAATTGTATTTGTTGACGAGGTCATTGTATCGAACATAAAACTTACGTAATGATGACTTTAAATAAGACTGCTGATATTCTTGTTTCAGCAACTTGTTTGTCAATAATTTACCTACTAGTATGTGTAGATTTAAAAATTGTTCATAATTAGAGCATGCTCTAGCGTATCGAATCAACTGAGATATATATACTCCGTATGCAGGTGATAGAGGTATATTGCTGCATAAGTAATGGAAGTTGACTATAGAAAAGTTAATGTCATCACGTTTATCATAAAGCTTGGATGTTAGATAACCATTAACATCTTTTTCCAGTAAAATATCTAAGTATGAAATAGATGTGTCAATCTCTGTGGTATACCTTTTATTTCAACTTATCAGGGACAAATTGTATCTAGAAATAACCATTTTAAATTGACAATATATCTAAATGTCAAGTTTAAAGCCACATGCAATAGATGTTTTCTTCTTTTCACGTAGAAGATTTTTAATTAAATTCTGGTTCTTATGAATACAAAATAGGTTTCCTAATTATGGGGCGAGGATGGTTATCATGGAAATTCCAACAGATTGTTGGAGGACCTTGTCTCCAAAAACCAAAGAGATATTGTCAATCAGAAACTCAAGCATCTTTTTATAAAATCAACTTCATAGTACTTGTGTTTACAATCAGATTGTCTTTAACAAAGAAATTTTGCAAATGGCCAATGACAAGGTTTGTAAATTTACGAGTTTCGTTTTTATTGAAAAGCTGTCAATGATATCAAAAAGCCTGAACTTTATTTTATCGTGGGGAACGGTTGTATATAAAGTTGAAAAAGTCGTAAGTTTTTATGCTGTTGATATTGGTAAAATTTTGTGATTTCAAATTTCCCATATGGTATAAGTTGGATTACCACTCGTAGAATCCAATTCTAGTTCATCTAAAATTCAATTTAATAATGAGCTTTTCAAACAAACACAAAGTTGTTAACAGTTCTATCAGCAAGGACCAGTACATACTGATCGTGTAATCTAAATTTTTTTTACTTCTGAATTAGTGAATGCATAAGAATTTTCATCCTTGAGTCAAATGGGGGTTGAATAGGTTTTTCCTACAAAATAATTCTTGTTACCAGAACCTGTTACTCTTTACGCAATGGCCAAAGGATTTTGCAAGATACTTGGGAAAAGTAGATGTGCAATATTAAGGGACTCCGACCCTCAGCCAGGAAGGACAACTCTTTAATTTATAATTTAATTCCAAAAGTCTTTAAATGAAGCTTGAAAATTAAATCTTTTCATTCAACAATTTTCATTATATACCTCTCAATGTGCTTCAAGGTTCTTTAAACTTCTCAGAAAGGTCTGTTTAAAAGTAGAAAATTTTATCCCGAAAAAGCGTTTTTAGATACCAATGTTTATTAACATGATATGAAATTAGAAGTAATTTATGGAGGTTTGCAAAGAACCTTGAAGCATATTGAGAGGCATATAATGAAAATTGTTGCATGAAAAGACTTAATTTTCAAGCTTCATTTAAATACTTTTTGAATCAAATTATAAATTAAAGAGTTGTCCTTCCTGACTGAGGGTTGGAGTCCCTTAAAGTTTCAAATGTTAATTTTTCGCCCTTAAGTTAAATACAGGGCGAAAACTATTTTATTTAAAAAAAAAACAAAAACAAGCTAAATCATCCTTAGAAATGTACATTTGTAATTGTTAGTGCCCTGTAGATGTGCAATAAGGTATTGGATTTTTTATTTTTGATATATGGACCAAGATCGAAAAAAGAAGTTCCTTTAACCAAAGAAACTCTCTTTTCCAGAACTCCTTTTACATTTTATTCAGAAGCCATATAATCGTTGGAAGTTGATTGGTCGTGGCCTGGAATGTAAGGTTTCGGGATTTTTATTTTCAACATGGGCTAGTTGGGGATAAAAAAAAGATGCACAAAACTGCATTGTATCATTTGTGGTAAGAATACTTTGGGCTGTTTTTATCCTTATCCGTCTGTCTGTCCATCCATCACTATTTCTTCTTCCTCAAACCCTTCTTGCAATTTAAGCAGTAACCAATTCATCTTGCGGTGTGATATATGATAGTCAGTGTGTTTTAAGACTTTTTAAGACTTTTCAGTAACAACTACAATTTTAACAGAAATCTGGTTCCAAGAACTCCTCATACATTTGACACAGCCCAAAATCATCATTTGGAAGGTAAGTGAAACTTTCTTTTAGAATCAGAATTTATTTCATTACAATTTTTAACTTCAAACTGGTCAGGTATTCTTAAAATAAGAGGCTCATGTACCATATGATTACAAGTACTTGTGCATGTTTTGCTTAATTTGATACATGTAATATACTTTTCAAGCAAGTTATATAATAGTTATTGTGGCTTCTTGGCTACCCAATAAATAAGGAAGCTAGCTAACATTTAGGGGAAAACCTGTGCAGGTTTTACTGTCTTACGACAGTATCTAGATCATACTATTGAAATGTTTACAAGTTCCTTCATATTCCTGGAAAGACTTTATCTGCACACAAATTATTTTAAAAATTAATTATAACAAGGAGAGGAAATAAGTGTTTTTAATTATCAGTATAAAACATAATAATGATACAAATAGATTATAAAGATATAGTATGAACCAAAAGCTTTAAAAATTCAAAACTTGAACTTTCATATATTACAGTTCCTAAAATGACAATTTTATAATACTGATAGAAAAAGAGCATATAAATAATTTCTCCAAATATGACAGGAAAATGCACCAGTTACAATCAACAATAAAATAAATCTTCAACAATAATACAAGTATGTCTATTTTTAATCAAGAAAACTGTGACTGTAAAATCCTTTTATCACAGTAATGAATTAATACTGACATTGTAGGCTAAGTCGTGCTCCATAACAGTATATAGCCAAGTTCTATCTATACAAGATACAAAAATAACTAATCTACCAGAGGCAAAGTAAACATTTGTAAACATAAAAGTTTTAAAATTATTGCTTCTAACCATTCATAAGCCCACACCATCTTCATACTATTTACTTTATGTAATACTGCAATCACGAAATTCATACAGCAATCATCACATCCCAAATTGTTCAGCTCGAGTAATTATAATTATAAAGTTGCAGTTGCATTATCTAATTGCTAAGTGTTTATCAAAAAGATTTCATTAACAATAGATTTGCTGTTGTGTAACACTAAATTGTATAAAAACAAAACAAAATGAATGCCCAGTGTACATTTCTTCGTATTGATCAATAAGAAATGGGAATGGTATTTTCTGGAGAAAAACATAATTTTTCAACTCCAATTATTATGAATAACAGAAAATACATCATGTCTAGTTTTTTTTCCACCCACTGAAGTACAATCCTAAAACCACAGAAATGTGTACCATGAAATGCCTGTACACACATAAGAATACCGACTTATAAATAAACATTCGACGATTCCTAACTTGTCAAAGCAAATTATACGTGTGATCCTGGCGTAAGATTACTTGGTCAAAGTCCTAGTAACAGTAATTTTTAGAAGTTTTTTATTCTTCATACTCACTAATAAATTGTTAATAGTGAAATTTAAGATATTCATACTCTGCAAAGGTTCCCATTGTCCAAACCTAAACCAGGTCGTTTTGACAAGGTCAAAGTCAAATTTGTTGTCAAATGAAAATTTTTAATTTCACAGTCACATCTCTTTCCTATAAGCAATTTCAATCCTACATTGTATTTGTTGCATTTTGCAATTGTTATAGAATTGAAATAATACTCAAATATTTTTGTTTTTTTGATTTAAGTGTACTTCCCATGAGTTGAAAGCATTTCTATTAACTTCCTATAAATATACTATATTTTATAATACGAGGTATAAATATACAAAGAAATTGAATGTTTTCTTGAAACTCGACAACCTGATATTTAAAAAAAATTCTGATCTAAAGGACAAGGGTATAATACTGTAGATCACTTTATTTTCACGACACCTTATTTTCGCGAGATAGTCATTGACTCTTGATTAACGAGACATAATTTTCACGAATTGTGGTTATTCCTCTATATAATCTTAAAAATACTATTATACGCGAGAATTTAATTTTTGCGAGCACACTGTCTCGCGTAATTACGCGAAAATAAAGTTCTCGCAAATATAATGTGATTTACAGTAATATGTATTTCCAAAAAGTAATGATTGCACAAAATTTTGTATTGCACAAATCTTGTTAACACAAATTACAGTGTACACAAGTTTCATCTAGATGCTATAATTTGTTCTTTGTTGTTGTTGTTTTTAATCACATTTAACCAATGATTATTACATTGGTAAAAAAAAGTCCTGGGTCAAAAAAGATTGTCAAACTAATTTTGAAGTGTTTCTTTTCTCAATACATTGATATCTTGTCATTTTTTTTTATCCTATTTTGATTTATTGGATCCTCACAGTGGAACACAGTGGATCATTTATAATTTTCTCATGAATTTCAATAAACAATGGAACATAAGTGACGTAGTCTAAAAAATCCACATAACCTTTGCCCTCTCTGTTGAACTTGCCCATTACCTAAAGGGGAAAAAAAAGATGGAATAAATAACACACTGGAATATAACACGAAATATGCACATATCCTTTGCTGAAATTACAAGTTTCTGTAGAAATATTTATATTTACAAACTACTTACATAACTGGTCAGTTCGGGTGACAGACCCCCCGCAGTGAGCTCCACGGCCAGACTCGAGGCCAGGGCATTCCCAAAAGGAACAGAATCTCCCTCATCCAGCAACTGAAACAGCTCCTAAAACCCAAAAATAAAATGTGTTGAAATCATTTATTAACTTGGATTTATTCAACTTATGTTCATCATTTTCAAAATTTTAAAAAGTTGGCTTAACTAACCTAATGGAATGTACATGTAATACTCGTATACTAGTAATATGTAAACAGTCATTAAAAAGGAAGGGGAAATTGCTTAATCGTTCAAACACTTCTTTGAAAGTGCAATATGAGGACACTTGCACTGGGCTCATGTTTTAATCAAGTAAGATGAGAAAATCACAATTTTTTAACTAAATTTTTTAGTGACAACACCTTAATACAGAAAGATATATGTTTCCAAGTGAAATATCAAGAAACAAGAGGCCCAGGGGCCACATCGCTCACCTGAGCACAACGGTTAGGAAAAAGCACATATCAGATCAGAACTGAAAGTTTACAGAGGTTTGGGGGAGGGGGGCTTGAATTTTAACCCCCCAGGGGGTCATGATTTGAACAAACTAGAATCAACACTACCTGAGGATTATTCCATATAAATATCACAAATCATGGCTTTAAAGTACTTGAAAAGAAGATTTTAAAAGGTCTCCCTATTTATTCCTATGTAAAACTTTAATTTGCCATTTTGGCCCCACCCTACCCCGGGGGTCACGATTTGTACAAACTTAAATCTTCACTACCTGAGGATAATTTCACATGAGTTTCTTCTTTCCTGTCTCAATGGTTCTTGAGAAGAAGATTTTAAAAGATTTTTCCTACACATTCCTATGCAAAACTTTGGTCGGCAATATTAGACCCACCCTACCCCCAGGGGTCATGATTTGAACAAACTTGAATCTACACTACCTGAGGATGATTCCATATGAGTTTCATCTTTCCTGGCCCAGTGGTTCTTGAGAAGATTTTTAAAGATTTTTCCATATACTCCTATGTAGAACTTTGATCGGCCATTGTGGCCCCACCCTACCCCCGGGGGTCATGATTTGAACAAACTTGAATCGACAGTACCTGAGGATGATTTCACATCAGTTTCATCTTTCCTGGCTCAATGATTCTTGAGAAGAAGATTTTTAAAAATTTTTCCCACAGACTCCTATGTAAAACTTTTATCAGCTATTATGGCCCCATCCTATCCCCGGGGGTCATGATTTGAACAAATTTGAATCTACACTACCTGAGGATGATTCCATATGAGTTTCATCTTTCCTGGCCAAGTGGTTCTTGAGAAGAAGATTTTAAAAGATTTTTCCTATAAATTCCTATGTGAAACTTTTATCGGCCATTTTGGCCCCACCCTACCCCTGGGGGTCATGATTTGAACAAACTTGAATCTACACTACCTAAGGATGATTCCACATGAGTTATATCTTTCCTGGCCCAGTGGTTCTTAAGAAGAAGATTTTTTAAAAACGCCATTAATTTTTCTCTTATAATTATCTCCCCTTGGAAAAGGGTCTGGCCCTTCATTTGAACAAACTTGAATCCCCTTCACCTAAGGATACTTTGTGGTAAGTTTGGTTGAAATTAGCTCAGTGGTTCTCGAGAAGAAGATGAAAATGTAAAAAGTTTACAACAACGTCGACGCCGCTGACGACAACGACAGATAACGGACAATTTTTGATCAGAAAAGCTCACTTGAGCCTTCGGCTCAGGTGAGCTAAAAAAAAAACATTTAAATTGAAAAACAAAGGTTTTTTCCCCAAAATATCATGGCTTCAGCACAGAAAGATGCAAAATTTTCCAGGAAAATAATTTGTAATGCAGAGAAATGATCCACCAACCTTTGACCTGTTCAATCTAACATCTAAAGATTCATAATCATTGCTCTGTCTTTTCCAGCCTTTTTCTTTGTTTAGAAGATCTCGAATAACAGGGCTAAAACAAGAAGGGAATAAAAATGAACTATTACTGCATTGGTGATTTATTTACATTGCATATATTTGTCTTTAAACAATTGCAAACTCATGGATAAAGTTATAAAAAAAAATTCCAAATTTTATCGTCTCTGTCCCAATATTTTTTATACAACTTGAACTGTAAATATGATTTTTTTTTCTCCCCAAGAAAATTCAAACAGGAAAAAAGGAGAAATTAATGTCAAGGTCATTCTTCATTTCAGATAAATATTTCACTTTTAAAGAAATACTTCATGGAAAGATAGGGTACAAACAAACAGTGTCTATGTCATGAGCAGGGTTCTACATTGAGGAAGTCTCTACTTGACTAAAATTACTGTTTACATCATTGTGTCACAGTCAAGCTATGTACTCAGTATATATCCAGTATGTACACTTACTCCATGTGGGTGATCCTCTCTGATAAGGCTGCTATCACACAGAACAACTTAAAGTTTATCTTTCTCCTTCCTGTCAAATTCAGTATCTAGAAGAAAAAAGGGAACTCATGGTTAAAAAAGGTAATCTTAGGCCAAAAAAAATTAATCAATAGTTTCTCAGGCCAAAAAAATTAGAATTCAATGAGGCAGGCAGGCTTTTTTTTTTTTGAAGCAGGTTTAACATCTTTTTTAAGCCATTTGTTCAATAAAATGATAATATCTACCAATTCTTAATTTTTGTTCTCTGAAATTGGTTGTAATATGTATTCAACTTTAAATAATGTTACTCCAAACATTTATTTAAAAGTTAATACAATACTGAAATTTTAGAAGAAATGTATTGTTTTTCTAATAAAAACGTCTATCTTAGCATTTATGAAAAGGGGAATAACTCGATTTTCTTTTTCAACTTGGAAAAATAGAAAATTGAGTTATTTCCCTTTTCAATATGTCAATAAAAATAATCTATGCGGCCGTTTTTGAACTGATGCGGCAGTGCCTGAGAAACTATTGATTAATTTTTTTTGGCCTTACCACAAGTTTCAGAGAAAAACCATTGATTTAAGGTGAAGAAAACTATAACAAAAAAACTTTTCTGACTTAATAACATAACTGTACAAATCAGTTGTAATTATATGTTTATTTCACAAAAACATTGTCTAAAACTGTCCCTATAAGACTAATATCCCCTTAAATCCAAATGATCTATTTTACAATTCCAACACAATGGTACTGATCTTGTCCAAATGACCACAGTACATGGTCATTAAATACTGGATATATCCTCTAATCACATCCAACCTTTTGCTTTTGCTTTGAAAATATGGCCATGACTAAATTTTTAGATTTCTAAAACCCTGATCTTGACAAATACCCCCACCAATTAAGTCCATAAACATACTGAATATTGTGATTTCTGTATCTACCCTCCAGTTTGTATGTAGGGGTTGTAAAGATTCTCATTATAGAATACATAGTATCATATTTTTACAAGTATCCATACTCACATGGTACAGATAGCTAAATTCATTCTGTGACAACAAGTTGTGATTGACAATCTGCAGAGCTCCCTCAAGTTCCTCTTTATTCATTTCTACATCCTAAAAGATAAATCAACAAAATGTGTTTGTGAAACACTATGCCCCTGGTGGCAACAAAATTCGAAAAAAGCTATTTTTATTGTATAGGTCACAGTAAAGGTCACAAGGTCATTGACCTTGGTCTCATTTGAAAGAACGTAATAAGTGGAGTATGCATACCAAATATGAAGTCTCTATCTTTCATGGTTAAAAAATTATGGTGAAGGTTAAAGTTGACAACAGACAGACAGACAAACAGATAAAAAGACAAACAGACAGAAAAAAAAATTTATACGCCCCGATCTATCAATCCTGGGGCATAACAAGAAATTAGGTAAACATTTTACAAAGAACTGGATTTTAATTTAAACAGAGAGTCCAGGGTTGTGGTTAACCATTTACATCCTAGGAGCCATGTGGGCCCATTACTTTTCAAAGTTTAGGGTCCCACAATGTGATTTACGGGCCCACATACCTCATCAACAAAATAGTTGAAAACGCTGCTTTTCTTTGTATATATAACACTTTATTTTTCATAAATAAATAATAACATTCAAATTGAACACAGGTAAAATAATTTTACTTGCGGTTGTGCAGTACGTTTTTGGTTTTTTTCTTTACCCCATCAATATAAACCGCCACATTATTGGTTTCACTAGGGCATACATCTAGGTCATGCGAGTGCTTGTATCATATACAATTGTAATAGTTTGCACACGACACCAAAAGTCATGGTTAGCATAGTGTTTGTTATGAAAAAAGGAAGTGGATTATAAAAATACAAACAAAGCATGGTCATGTTCCGGGAACAAGACGCTCGCCATGTGGGCGATCAAATTTTGATTTCTTCATCGCCCACTTGAAATTTTAATCGCATTGGCGAGTGGGCGAGTGGTTAACCACAACCCTGGAGTCCAAAACATATCCACTTCAAGGCATAAGAAAGGACCAGCAACTCTAGTTGTCATCTGTCACACTTTCATTTCATCTAAAGGACTTTTTGCTTTTAAGGTACATTGTACACTTACTGGATCTGGGTGGAGCGTCTTATACAAAAAACTCTGTTGCCTTCGGAATTCTCGGGGTTTATTGTTGTCATTCTGGGCCTCGAAAAAAAGCTCCATGCAGTACATTCCTATGATGTTCTTCTCACCTGAAAAATAACGTTCAGACAATGAGGGGAAAAAAAATGCAAAGAGAAATCAATTTAAAATATACAGAGTTACTGCTCTTACCTTCTAATTGAATCAATCTGTCCTCTATATTGGCTAGTTTTTCTGTACACCTTTCTATTTCACAGTTCAGCTGGTGTTGAGCAGGCTCTTTCATAAGCTTAAATAGAAGGTAAAAATACATATACATCAACAACTTTGGAGAAAGAAATGACTAGAAATATGTCCATAGGACATGAATGCCCCAGGATATATTAGTAAAACAACATGAAAATTTGTATAAAATTTGATCAGTTTGGTTCAAGTAGGGCTTATAGTTACTAGGGAATAAAAATGTAGGTCAGATCCAGCATCCGAAGCAAGACTGGTAGTGTCCATCCCTAGCTGCATCATCCATGCAAGTTTGATTCAGGTAGGGCTTATAGTTACTTGAGAATGAAAATATAGTTCTGATCCAGCATCAGATGCAAGTCTTGTAGTGTCCATCCCTAGATGCATCATCCATGCAAGTTTGGTTCAGGTAGGGCTTATAGTTACTTGGGAATGAAAATATAGGGCAGATCCAGCATCCGAAGCAAGTCTGGTAGTGTGCATCCCTAGATGCATCATCCATGCAAGTTTGGTTCAGGTAGGGCTTATAGTTACTTGGGAATGAAAATATAGGTCAGATCCAGCATCTGAAGCAAGTCTGGTAGTGTCCATCCCTAGATGCATCATCCATGCAAGTTTGGTTCAGGTAGGGCGTTTAGTTGCTTGGGAATGAAAATATAGGTCAGATCCAGCATCCGAAGCAAGTCTGGTAGTGTCCATCCCTAGATGCATCATCCATGCAAGTTTGGTTCAGGTAGGGCTTATAGTTACTTGGGAATGAAAATATAGGTCAGATCCAGCATCCGAAGCAAGTCTGGTAGTGTCCATCCCAAGATGCATCATCCATGCAAGTTTGGTTCAGGTAGGACTTATAGTTACTTGGGAATGAATATATAGGTCAGATCCAGCATCAGAAGCAAGTCTGGTAGTGTGCATCCCAAGATGCATCATCCATGCAAGTTTGGTTCAGGTAGGACTTATAGTTACTTGGGAATGAAAATGTAGGTCAGATCCAGCATCTGAAGCAAGTCTGGTAGTGTCCATCCTTAGATGCATCATCCATGCACGTTTGGTCCAAGTTGGGCTTATAGTTACTTAGGAATGGACCTGCTCCAAAAACTTTAATCTGGTCACTCATCTGGAAAATGTAGGTCAGATCCAGCATCCGAAGCAAGTCTGGTAGTGTTCATCCCTAGATGCATCATCCTTGCAAGTTTGTATCCACTTGTGAAGTTTGATAACACCATCTTGAATGGTATGTTTAAAACTGAGCTAAACACTAATTTAAGAAAAATGAGGTCAAGGTCAAAGGAAAGGTCAAGGTAAAAAAATGTTGATGCAGTTGCATAGCTCTCATCAGTATCTATCAGCATATGAAGTTTGATGAAAATATCTTGGATAGTTTCTTTGAAACTTAGCTTTGAACAGAGCTAAACGCAAAGTGTGACGGAAGGACAGAAGGACAGAAGGACGGAAGACGGACATGACAAACACTATATGCCCCGGCCATATTCATGGCGGGGCATAAAAAGATCTTTTTCTCTCTTTGTATAATCACTGTATATTTGTACATGTATTAGTCATTTTAGAAGTTTTATGTTCATTCAGTCACAAAAATGAATGGTCATAGATACATGAATTTCAAACTGACAAACTGTGATGATGTGGATAATTGTTGGTTTACAGTATATGGATGAACATTTGTCTCAAATAGTATATACATGTGCATGCAATCAAGTTTTGTAAATAGTGCTTAAAACTAAGTTATAAAGGCATTTTAAAAGACACACAAGTACGAGGGTTGTTCGAAAAGTTCGTGGACAACTGTCATATCTTTTTTATTTGACGTCATATGTTATCCAAATTTGGTAGAAATATTTTAACAATAAATCCAAATGATTTGTATTAATTTTTTTCAAAATATTACGATATACAAAACTTATCCAGATTTTAAAAATGCAAAAATCGGATCGCGGAGCAGGTCAAAATTTAGTCAGTTACAGACAATACACTAAATAATGTTTATAGTCAAATTATCTGTAAAATGAATCAAAATCGAAAAACAACTTAGAAATTCAACTTAAGAATTGTTACATCGATTCTTATACCAAATTATGGTTTAATATTTTGCTTTGTCAAAAAGAAATCAACTTGAGAAGATAGGTAGTCCTTATTGAAAACAACAAAAAATGATGACGTTTTAAAATATCACGGAGCAGCAGATAACGATGCAAATTTGTGTTTTACTCAGGGAAAATCCTGAATTAACTCTAAAAATGTTGAAGGAATCAAGAAAATATGTCTCAAACGAGTTACGCATGTGTGTACAATTAGTACTGGCAGTATTTGAGTGACAGGCTCTGTATCGGATAAGGATGATCTGTGAAGAAACGGTTTAACTGTAAAAATCTTAAGAATGTATGCCAAGGAATTGGTACTGAGATAAGTAGTTTTTTGGTCTTTGGGCAGGGGTTTTTTTTTTTTGCTTGTCAACTTTTCCACGTAAGTAAAAAAAATATTTCTCTGCCCCCCCCCCCGCACTTTTAAAGACGATGCTACATGTGTACTGCTTGGCTAATTCATTTCGCTTTCCAGAAAGGGGGGCTAACAGAAACTTTATAAAATCGCTATTTATCTAAAAAAAATTTCGCAAACCGTTTCCTTCTTTTATTTTTTTTTAATTCAGCGTGTAAGTAAATCACTATTTTGTTGGATTATCATAATGCGTAGTCCGCGGAATGGTGTGGTTTTATATAATGAGAAGAAAGGGACTTCAAATTTTGTGGCATGTGAGGATGACAAGGGGGTGGGGGTATAACAAAAGGACACTGCATGTACTTTCCATCTCAAATTTAAAACTGTTGGAAATGTTATAATAGAGATTGAGTTAAGTCCAACCCATCAACCCATCAACCCATCAGACCCAAAGGGGACAAGGACCATGAAATTCACAATTTTGTTCCTCTTCACCAAAATTTGTTAAAATTTTACATAATGTAACAATTTTCAAATATTAGCATGAGATGCACAATGGACATACACAAAGAAAAACAGATAGCTATAATTAACATAACTCAAGTGACCTAATAAGTTACGAAATGGTACTAAACTCTCAACAAGAGGCCCATGGGTGACATCACTCACCTGAGCACTTTTGCTAGTTCAGTATTGTATGAGTGGTAGCAACCTATATCCCGAAGGGGATGAGGTATGATTTGAACTTGATTCTACACTGAGTATACTACCATATTTCAAAGACTAATCAGGGCGTTAAAAGTTTTGAAAAAAAAATTTCTATAAGCTTTAACTTCTATTGTGGCCCCCACCCTAACCCATGGGAGTCAAGATTTGAACAAACTTTAAACTACACTACCTAAGGAGGCTTCCATATAACTTGACAAATCATGGCTCTGCTGTTGTTTGAAAACTTTTATAAAAGATTTTTTCTATGTTTTCGTATGGAAAAATTGATAGTTTATTTTGCCCCCTCCCCATCCCCAGGGGTCAATATTTGGAAGAAAAAAACCTTAAATAAACACAACCTGTGGATGCTCCTATATGATTTTCATTTTTCCTGACCCGGTGGTTTTGGAGAAAATTGTTTTTCAATTGTAAACTTAAAATGTAATATTTTGATCATCAATTGTGGCCCTACCCTACCCCTGGGGTCATGATTCAAATAAACTTCAATCTACACTACCTGAGGATGCTTCCATATAAATATGACCAATCATGACTTGCTATTCTTTAGAAAAATATTTTTAAAGATTTCCCATATTATTTCTTTGTAAAACTTTGATCTTCCCTTGTGGGCCTGCCCTACCCCTGGGGGTCATGATTTGAATAAATTTGAATTTACACTACCTAAAGATGTTTCCATAAAAGTTTCAACTTTCCTGGTCCAGTGGTTCTTGAGAAAAAGATTTTTAAAACATGCCACTTCATTAGCACTATTTTTGAATTATCTCCTTGAATTAGGGCATTGTCCTTCAAATGAACAAACTTGAATCCCTTTCACCCAATGATGCTTTTTGGAAAGTTTAGTTAAAATTGGCCCAGTTGTTCTTTGAGAAGCTTACAGATAGATGGACAGATGGCCTACAGACAAAATGTGATCAGAAAAGCTCACTTGAGCTTTCAGCACAGGTGAGCTAAAAATGAAGGACACAGTTGATTATTTTGGTCTAGATATTTCGAATAAAAAACATTCTTCATCATAACAAACCTTTTCTCTTGTGAATTTCTCTGAATAATTTCTCTACATCTCGAACATCATGTTTTTTATGATCACTAGAGGTCCTGATGCACTCCTGACACAAGGTGACGTCACACGGGATACAGAACTGGGATAATGGACGGCTTGGATGTTTCCTGCATTTGAAATCCTCCAGAGGGAGACCTTTTAAAACAAGTAAAAAGAAGAAAAATTGTAAAACAATATACACAAGATAGATAAAGATATCTCTAGCATTTTATCATTAAAATGATAATTTTAATGTTTTTCCATATAACTGGTATAAAAGTCTCACATTTGAAATCCTCCAGTGGGAGATCTTTTCACAAAAAAATAATATACACAATATACATGTAGTACATAAAGATATATCTAGCATTTCATCATCCTCATATATTTTCTTAATGTTTCCCTGTATTACTCATGTTACGGGTGAGTCTCACATTTTGATTTTATTACTGTACACTTGTCAAGAACAATTTCACATTCTTTCATTTTTCACCATTTGATTAATCTTTAGTTGTCAACTGAAATGTAAACGATTAAGTATTTGATCCACACACACACACACCCTCTCTCACGCACACACACACACACACACACACACACACACACACACACACACGCACACACACACACACACACACACATACACACACACACACACACACACACACACACACACACACACCCTCACACACACACACACACACACACAAATTCTGGGAAGATGATGCAACTTAGTTATAACCGCTACAATCTGTGAACACTATATGTAATATACATGTACGATGTCAACCCAGTACACAGTGTAGATTTACTGAACACCTGCTACAGAAATACACAACATTCCTAGACAGAGCTGGTTTAATGTCACTGGTGTTGATATCAAAACTACCAGTATGTCTTCTGAGAGATTGACTTATTTTTGCTTGAATAAAGTATTGAAAGAACTATATCAATATACTGTTTAGTGAAATAAAATGTCCCCCTCTAAACCCCTAATCCCTCCCTATACCTCACACCCCATTAAACAGTTGACTATTCTCTAGATTCCATTTCCTTAGACATGTGTTAGTGACATACAAACACTTCAACAAACATTAAACCACACCATTCAATCCCCCTTCGATTTCCTGAAGTTAGGAACCAGAAGCTTTAATATTTATGCATATATATACTATAAAGTTTCATCCACAATCATGTCAACCAAAACAGAAGTTAAAATCAATCAGAGTTGTTCAAACAATCAATTACCAGTTAGAATATTTAGCATGTTTACATGATGTAGAATAGAATACTTAAATATTTTCATATGTAAAAAAAATATGTTAAATTTGATATGCTACAAAGACATCAAAGTTTGTCAAAGACATCAAAGCCTATTTTTATTTTCCTAAACCAAGTATACATTATAAGAACACTTATTAAATAATAAACATAATATATAAATAATGTATCTATAGATTTATACTTTTTATAATTAATGTATCCTCATCATAGAAATATTTCTTGTCAAGTTGTAATCAACTAAACATGTAATATGTCATCAAACTGAAAACAATCATTGTAATTTAATTCAGTCATGACTTTCCCAGTAATTATTAAATTATCTAACATATTGTGTACATAGAGTATTGTAAAACAATTAAACTAATTAAACATACTGAACTATAACTGTACATTATTACTTACCAGTCAGAGAGTCTGTATCTACCACTCTGTATAGGTTGACTGTGTTGTTGTCGTATGACCCTACCCACAGTAGGTGTGTTTCATCATCATAACTCAGGCCCTGTGGTCTGTCTATCCCGTGTTGTGGTGTGTGTATCTCTGTCAGATAGTGACCCTCACTATCTAACATCTGTACTGACTCGGTGATCCAATCACACACCAGGATGTGTGACAGCGCGTCAGTACAGATTCCACGTGGTATTAGTCCTGATCTTGATGGAGGACCTGTGTAGGAGAACCGGTAATTACCGTCACGATCTGTCACCACTACACCACGCATAGAGTCAGACACAATAACATCTCCATTGCGGTTCTCTGTGATGTAGAGAGGATATCCATACAGTTCCTGACCTGTGTTGTTGTGGTGTTGTATGGTCTGGATGTTTTCTCCTGTGGAGTTATACCGCACTACCTTGCCTGTCTTTCTATCACGTCTATACATATACATCCCGACCAGCAGGTGTCCAGTGGAGGGGGAGCTGTAGACACACAGTGGTATCCATGGTGATGTGTTGTACTTTATTATGGTAGTCTTTTCTTTGTTCTCTGTAGACAGTTTATTGATGTTATATTCCCTGTCTATGTAGATTAGATCACACTCACGGTTCACACTGTGTCCTCCCACAACATAAACACTACCTATATCTGTCACACGATCTAGTTCTTCTCCTTTAGTGTTTGTCAGTATAAGATTGCCTTTCTCATCACTGATCCAGACCCGGTCTGATGACACACGTGATATGTGATGACACTGACTAACACCAGACAAGGTGACATATTTCTGTAACACTCCTCTATACATCATTGACAGCAGACATCTATTTCCTCTTCATCCTCTGGTTTTATGTTGATTTCCTCAGTCAGGGAGATCTCTCTGTAAATTACAACACATGCAGTGCTAGAATTATTGACATCAAAAACACAGACTCTCTTTACAGTTTTTTTTTTAAATGTACTTCTTTAGATCATTAAATAATTGTCTCTTTAAAATATGATATACAGTATTTACATTAAGTTTAATTATTTGTCTCTAGACTTTATTTTTTTACATTTATTGCCTATTAACAGATTAATATGATTTTATCTACATTTTTATATATCAAATGATATTTGTCTGTCTTCAAAACTTGCATAATATATTATAATTAGATGTCATGACATGTCAAGACAAGTTCACAAGTAATAAGAATTCTGTAATTTCCGTCGGCCCTGAGAACACAACTGTACCTTGTACACTGTACAACTACTGTACAAATACTGTACGTGGTGCAGACGCCTTACTTTAATTGACTGAGGAGAGTCCTTTGTACACAGCTCTGGACTAGAATCTGATCTATATAAAAAAATATATATATTATTAGAAAATCTGTTGGATAACAGTTCAAGATCAACTGACATCAAATTGATATGAATCTGACATGGTATAATTCTTAAATTCATATTTTAAATTGTGTCAATTCAATAACTTACAAATATGTATAAAAGATCAATGAAAATCAAGGGAATATTACATTTATAACTCAATCTTCCTTACTTCAATGAAAAGCCATTTATAGCACTTTATACATGACAACATTAATATAAACAAGAGGTCTCTGTGCCACAATGCTCACCTTTGTCCCTTTGCCCCTCCCCTTTCCCCCTCCCTGTTCTTGAAATTTTGAAAATTGAGAATTTACAACTTTCAGTAAGCTCACTAGCTGATATAAGTTTTATCTTCTCTGGTCAAGTAATTTTTGAGAAGAAAATTTTTAATGAATTTTTCTACATATTTTGATACCAAATTGTGGGCTTATTCTCCGTCCGGGGACCATGATAAAAACAACTTAGAATTATAACTACATGCACATGTATTTAATAAACCTAGTAGTGTATAATCCTTGATTATAACACATGATTTAGACTTGATTAGACAACTGCTAGGAGAGAGGGCTGCATTGCCCTCAGGGCGACATCACTATGTCTTGCCCTATTACGAAGGGGTTGTTTTGCCCTCAAATTTTACTTATTTCTTTTTAATATGTGTATATTTGTGACAGTAAAATATGTATATCGGTTTTAAAGAAAGGTATTTTTATACTAATATTACATCTGAATTTTTAAAAATAAATGCAATGCTAATACATAAAAAAATAAAGTTTTTGAAACGTGTGACAAACGATGCTGCTCCTGACGTAAGAGAGGTAACTCTTGTTAAAATAAAACATATTAACACATTATATTTTGAACACGAAAAGGTTGACTTGTTTATCTGTTTCGGCTGTAAGAATGTACAAATTTCTCTTTATATGCTATGTTTAAGCATGTATTTAAGTTGAAAACTTCTGGCCTAGCCTTTTATGACAGGAAGATTGCTTGAAACTGAAAGTAGAACTCTCTTAAGTTTGGAACCTTCAAATCTTTATATTAAAATGAGCTATGGTAGGAAAGGTTTCAAAAATACATGTTAATTTCTTCTAAATGGTCAAATTTTTTCTCATCATCGCTATTCTCCATTCGTGATTATTTAGTCACTTTCGTCAAGCATTACATCTTTACCTCATTTACGAAGATTGAAAACAAAAGTGGATAGTTCTACTGAATGGTTATTTCATTTTCTTGCCACTAGATATGAATTGAATGTTTTAAAACTTTTTTCCAATATATATGTATGCATTCCATTAGACAAAATTGTCTGGTTTTATTATAATACATGATATAAACAACTTACATCATATCGCTGTTTTGACCAATATAATGTTGACCCTAGGATGGTCTCGACCAGTAAGGCTTGGGCTGATACCATCCGCTAAGGCTGATATACCAACGGCCGAGATCAAAACATATACAGCAGTGTGATATTCTACATATATCAGGGAGCTTACTTGTAAGTTTCATGTTTTTTTTTTATTCTTTTTTTCCCTCTCAAAATTATTGCATAATTACATGTAAAACTTTGATCCTCTATTTTGCCCCCCCCCCCCTCCCCTACCTCAGGAGCCATGATTTGAACAATTTAAAGATTGTACATATTTTAATTTTTTTTAAATATATTTTTTTTCCTCTAGAGTATTGGAATAATAATCCCAGATATAAAACTTTGATCTTTTATTGTGGAGCCATGATTTGAGCAATTTAGATTTTGTTTTACAGTTCTAGAGTTAAGGGACCTTACATGTAGGTTTTCTACTTTTTGGCCTAATGCTTAATTCTTAACAGACTTTTTATCTTCCTATTTAAAACTTCGCTCCAATAATGATAGTATGATTCCACACTGTCTTGAATATGTTTACCTTCTTTTTAATTATCTCCTCTAGAATTTGGACTTGACCCTCAAACAAATTATAATTAATGCAACACTACCAAATATTCTTTACAAAGACTTTGGTAAAATTGGCCCAGAAGTTGAACGTTCTCCAAAACATAAATAAATAAAAATAAATACAACTGTATGTTAAAAGTTTACGGACAAACTGACAGACTGAGGCCGGGCAATGATGGAGATCAGAAACATTCACAAGCTTTCAGATTATAGATGAACTAATAACAAAAGTAATAAAGATATATATACCACAGAGATTTTGGTTATGTAGAGTGCATGGGACCTTGTGTCTGTGTCATTAGGATCTGGGAGACAACCAGTACAATCAAAATAATGCTGCTTTATAACAGTCTTGGAACAATCTGTGTTTAATAAAGACATACTGTCATTATTGCAATTAAATCTTCAACATCATTATTAAGTTTTCTACAAGCAATAAAAATAATGTTCCATTACTGGCAAAGCAATCTTTAACTGATGATCTGTTTAAAATCAATTTCAAGAATACATGGATCTAGAAACTTTTAAAACTTTAGATGAATAGATAATCATATTTTTTAAATTTTAGGCCAATGTAATAAATCTGTACAGTAGTTTCTCAGAAACCTGTTTTGGGGGCGGAGGTGCGTACCCTTTTAAAGTATTTACTAATATTTCAAGAAGACAAAAAGTGCTATGCTTTTAAAAAAATTTAAGATTCTGATGCACAACATATTTATAAAACAATATTTTATCAGCAAATTTTTTTTATAAAGTATTGATAAAATAGAAAGCAATCAAAGAGGGATAACATCTGCTAAAAAATCCCATATGAAACTTTGCCATATTTTGCCTGAGAAACTAGATTATTTTTTTTTGCATTAGTCATATACTAGTAAACATAAAAGGAGAACATGAAAACTGTAAATATATGTATTCTTCCTCTACACCGTTATCCATCACAATTTGTAGAACCTGTCAAAATAAAATCAAACTTTTTCACATATTTACATGGTAAGTAGATAAACCTTCACAAACTAATAATAATTATCATCATTATTTAATATTAAATTCTGGTTGTAACGCTGTATTTGATTGGATAAAAAATTTACTTTATATCGTATGAAATGGGTTGCCTACAGTACAGGCCACGAGTTTTCCGCAACGCTCGGTGGAAAAAACACCGTGTGAAACGCTCTGTGTTACACCGTGTACACGGTGTAGCACGGTGTGTGTGGATTTGAAATATACAGGTAGGCACACCGTGCCGCACCGTGTCTAGAAAATCTCAGCTAGTGCCCTCCGTGTCGCACCGTGTCCAGTAAATTTCGTTCCGTTGCATGTCCAGAAAATTCTCCTCCAAGCTGCATCGTGTAAATAGTATTACAGACAAAATCGTTTGTTTCTGATGAAAAATTTGATAATAAATTTTGATGACAACTTTGGTTATGTATATATAAAAAAACGTTTTTATTCTACCAGATATTGGAATTCGAATGGCACACATGATATTGAGATTAGATATCGGTAAAAAAAAAAAAAATTAAATGATTTTCATTTGAATTAACTATGTGTCTAGAAATTTATATTTTAGTAAAATTATTCATCCACGTCACAAATCAAAATTATGAATTTTACTTTAAATGAATAATTTAATCTCATATGTTCACGTAACAAAGGAAGACGAAATGGCGTCAAGCTGCATTCGTGTCGCATACACTGACATACATAGTACAGTATAAAATTAAATCGGAGCTGTGTTTATGTTCATGGTTTTAACACGATCCAAGCATTTCAATGTATATTCCTTATTAAAATACATTTATTTTGTTCATCTTGAATTATTCTGAATGTGAATGCGAAAATCGTCAGCAGAAACACGAAATTAATGCAATAATTTCAAAGCGTATTTCACGTAACAGCAAACATTATTTTCATAGAGTAGTATTCACCCCGTTATGTTTTTAAAATCCATTCAGTGTAAGTAGCTATTTTAATTCGTTTGTCTTTCCTTGTAAAGTGTATAAAAGCTTAAAAAGCTATACCAGAGAGAGAGAGAGAGGAAGAGAGACTCATACAACCCCCTTTGAACATATAGTCTGTAATTTTTTTTTAATTCTTCGTTTTATTTAAGTTACGGAGGTCACAATTAATCATTCTATAATTCTATTTAATTGCCACAACTTTTGTTTATATTCAACCCATTTAATGCAATTAATTTGTTCTCTGTATATGCTGTACGCACAAAATTTTCGTGCATCACCTGCCAATCAAAATCCCATGACGCTAGGTGACCTTGAAAGTCTGTTCACGCGGAAAGAATTTCTCTTGTGATTTGAAACAATCTTATGGTCAGTTCCGAGTTCACACCTGTTCAAAAATATATTGGGTCTCTGCCGGTGGGCCAGGGGCGCCGTATGTTTATCACGCCTTTCAAATTCTTTTGCTCTGACCACAGCAAGTGTATACATGTAACACACTCAACTGATATGCGAAATTCATCTTCCAGGTTTCACTACAACAACAATTATAAACTTACATGTATTTGTTAATTTATTTATCCTTTTTCAGACACAAATAAGAATGTATCCCGTAGATTAAGATTAAAAAAAAAGTAACATAAATTTGCAGACTTCTGATAAAGTTTTAACTGGCTGATTCGTATCGCATTTTTAGAAGGGGGGTTGGGGGGTTGGGTTTAAAAATCGCTAAATATCTATATGTTTTCTCAAACCGTTTTTTTTTCTTTTCACACGATATATTTCAGAATGAAGTAATATTCGCCACATTTCATTTGCCAAAAATTCGGCTGTGATTTTTGTATTCAGCGTGTTTACTAACTAAAGTTTATCACTATTTTAATTAATGAAATTATTCAGATTATTATCTCTGCCTGTTCAGTGGATTTTCGAGTTTAATATTTATCTCCATATTTTACATAATTACAGATTTTTAGTGTTAGTCTAACTGCAATAATCCTCATCTGAACCTGTCCAATGATTCGCAGAGTATCGGTATCAAAGAGCAGAATTAATGTGCGAGTCTGATACTTTTTTTAAAATTTAATCTACACACAGTAAATGTACATTTAATTTCTTACAAAATAATTAATTCACTTTGTATAATCACGCATCTGATATGTAATACGTAGGGAAAAACGATCTTGTATGAACGATTTAATTGAACACAGTTAAAATCAAAATCGAAAGTAGAGACAATCAAGTAATTCATTTATGAAAGCGTGTTTCCTCTTAATGTAATATAATAATAGTCTATTGAACTTTTTATGACTAACGTAATAAGTATTTAACTTGAAACGTGACTGTATATTTTTTTTTTGCCTGACACGAGTACGTTGTTATTAAGTTTTAAGGCATCTTATTAGTTTAATTATCTGTATGCGATAAATTACCAATATTGATTTATGGAAAAAGTAAAACAAATATTTCGAAAGAAAGTTGATTTAATCTTATTTAAAAAAAGGCAATAAGAATGTTTAAAATATTTATCATTAGAACTGTGACAAACCGTGTTACACGGTGCACAGAAACGCTGACTTCAAAGACGCCGACAAGGTTCGAGGTCCACGCTAAAGCGTGGACTTGCGGTCCACGGGGCCCCGTGTTTTTTGCGGAAAACTCGTGGCCTGTACTGTACGTTACAATGACTTGCGTCAAAAACGTATCAATCCGCCTGACGTTATATTCAAATTTTGTACAAATTATTTGTTTAAAAGTTTTAAAAATATTTTTTATATTCCCATTGTTTACTTTGTTCCCGTATTATGGCTCCACACTATCCTAATTATTCCCCTTTTTTTTAATCATCTCCCTTTGGAGATGAAAATTGGCCCTTCATTGAAGAATTTTAAATCCATTGTAACCAAAGATTCTTTGTACCAACTTTGGTTCATTTTGTCCCAGTATTTGTATGTTCTCAAATAGCAACAAAAATTTATAAATCACAGACGGACAACTAAGCATACAGACAAACAGAGCAAGACAATGGGTGATCAGAAAAGATCACAAACTTTCAAATTAGGTCAATGAATAGTAAAAGTGAAAAAAGAAGTGTATACCTACAGAGATTTTCTTTAGTTATGTAGAGAACTTGGAACCCTCTGTCTGTGTCATTAGCACTTGGGAGATAACTGGTACAACCAAAATGATTATGCTTTATTACATTCTTGAAACGATCTGTTTAAAAAAGATGAACTGACATTATTTTATTTCATTCTTTTAAACACATTAAAAAGTTTGCTTAATACAGTATTACAAATTTAAATTTTATAATGTTCTTCAATTGGGATGCAGAATTTACAGATACAAGTTTCAAATTAATTTGCATAGAATAAGAACCAGCAGGTTTAAAAACTTTGTATGCATAAGTAGTGTTTTATTCACCTTTAGGCCAAAAAATCTTAGTTTTCTCAGACACTTCATCAGATAAAACAATGCCACATCAATCTTTATTCTCAGCCTGAAAGGGTAAGAAATTGATAACATAATTTTTCCAGTTAAACTAGAAATAAGTCCATAGGACATGAATGCTCCGCCGAGGATATATCAGTAAAGAAACATGAAAATGTGTATGTGTATAAAATTTGATCAGAATATCTTGAATAGTGATACGGCTGAATTGCTTGTTTGGAAAATATAGGTCAGATCCAGCATCCGAAGCAAGTCTAGTAGTGTCCATCTCTAGATGCATCATCCATGCAGGTTTGGTTCAGGTAGGGCTTATAGTTACTAGGGAATAAAATGTAGGTCAGATCCAGCATCCGAAGCAAGTCTGGTAGTGTCCATCCCTAGATGCATCCTCCATGCAAGTTTGGTTCAGGTAGGGCTTATAGTTCCTTAGGAATGAAAATGTATGTCAGATCCAGCATCCGAAGCAAGTCTGGTAGTGTCCATCCCTAGATGCATCATCCATACAAGTTTGGTTCAGGTAGGGCTTATAGTTACTTGGGAATGAAAATATAGGTCAGATGAAGCATCCGAAGCAAGTCTGGTAGTGTCCATCCTTAGATGCTTCATCCATGCAAGTTTGGTCCAAGTAGGGCTTATAGTTCCTTAGGAATGGCCTGCTCCAAAAACTTTAACCTGGTCACTCATCTCGAAAATGTTGGTCAGATCTAGCATCCGAAGCAAGTCTGGTAGTGTTCATCCCGAGATGCATCATCCGTGCAAGTTTGTATCAACATGTGAACTTTGGTAACACAATCTTGAATGGCATGTTTAAAACTGAGCTAATCACTAATTTAAGAAAAGTGAAGTCAAGGTCAAAGGAAAGGTCAAGGTAAAAAAATGTTGATGCAGTTGCATAGCTCTCATCAATATCTATCAGCATATGAAGTTTGATGAAAATATCTAGGATAGTTTCTTTGAAACTTAGCATTGAACAGAGCTAAACGCAAAGTGTGACGGAAGAACGGAAGACGGACATGACAAACACTCTATGCCCCGGCCATATTCATGGCGGGGCATAAAAATGAGTTATTCAACTTCCCCGTAACTATTTTGTTTCTTCATACTAGAGTATGTTTCTTTTGCAACAATGCCTTATCAGTAAACATTTTACAAAGTATTGATTAACATAATTTTACGTTTATTTAATATCAAATAATACATGTACAAGGATATATAATAGTAAGGAGTCATTCTTTGCTGACAAGAAAAAGAGAGCTGGGGCTATCACGAAAAAAATAATTGTTTGATTTATATAATGTACTCCAGATCATATTTTACAGGGTAAGTAGATAGGTAGATAGGAAGATAAGTATTGTTTTCTAATTATCTAACACATTGATAACTGTCGGTTAGATTACTGACTGAGACATAATTATTTTTTTAATTTTTTTTCTCATTTCAATGTATACATGGAACAGCTAATCAGTTTTAATACTTGTTGATATCAAAACTAAAAAAATAAAACATTTTAACTTTAAAAACCCTATAGGCAATCTGTATGTTAAAGGAACCAGAAAAATGGTAACGATAAAAATTTAAAATGCTGAGAAAAAAAATAATTGGGTAAGTACAGTACTTGGCCATAAGTGAGTCATAATCTTATTTTTCCACTATATATTTCATTGAAAAACGCATTTTTCTAAAATATTATTAAAGTCTCATTTGTTGTTTCTTTTAAATGTCTAAAACACCATAAAATGCAGGATTTGTTGTAGTTTTTTCACATTATTTCAAAATAGTTTCAACTTTATGCGTTACCGAGAAATCACAGGTCAAGTGCAAAACAAAAATTTTAAGATTTCAATTTGTTAAGAAACCATAGTAATTTGAGGTTTGAAAATTTTGTCTTGACAATATTTTATAATTTATTCTCAATAGTTTAAGGTCAAGATCTAGTAAATGACTTTAGAATAACTTTTCAGTGCTAAATCCATTATGACGTCATAATCACTTTCAACTTTCTTTTTCCCGTACTTTACGACTCTAATAGAATTATGTAGAAAATAAAGTATTTCCATGGAATTCAATTTGAAATCACATGAAAAGTAGTGCCGATACCTATTTTAGATTTGACATTTTTTTAAATTAGAGACTAAGAACATACAAATTACCGTTTTCTGAAAAACTGTAGGCAATCTGGATACATTTTCTTTGCCTGATACGGAAAAAACTCCCATTCTCAATACTGGTTTTCTTAATTTTTCATTGAAAATGACAGTTTAAAATATGGGTTTTCATCTTGTTTTTCTACAAATTATGCCCCGAAACATCTATTTTGACCAAGCTAATATTATAAGGCATCATTAAAGGAATTAATTTCTTAAATTTGAAAAATCTGTAGGCCCTTACATTTACTAGATCTTGACCTTAAGAATCCTTTTGTTTATCATTTAAGGTAAGAAAATTTGAATAATTCTGCATGTTTCAGTGAAAAAAATCATAAAAATTGAGCTAAAATTGACTTCACAACAAGTTTTTATAAAAATAGGTTTTTCAATGAAATATATAGCGTAAAATTAAAATTATGACTCACTTATGGCCAGGTACTGTAGGTATGATTTTGATGGGTTGGTTGGAGTACATTAAATAAATATTTTTTTTTAATTGGCCTATTAACACTGCTTCACAAAAAGAACCTGTATATGCTACCTTGCACTGTGTACATAATGTTTGACTTGAGAATCAAGATGAATACTGTATACAGGGAAATTTTCGCCCCGTTTTATTTTCGCCCCTTTCGCCCTATCCTCTATAGGGCGAATTTAAAACGGGGCAAATTTGTTTTACAGTGTGAAAGGGCGAAAATAACAAGGGGCGAAGATAACCCTGTATACAGTATTTTTTTTTGCCTAGGTCATGTACCAGCACACAAAAAATGAAAATGTGGAAACCTGTACATATAGGTCTATATATTCTTCTTTTATACAGCTATCCGTCACAATCTGGAGAACCTGTAAAAATAAATCAAACATAAAATTACGATAAGTTTCTCACATCCTGGCTTTTAAATAGATACAATACCTGCGCAAAATCATATTCAAAGCCCCTCCAACCCCCCAATGCTACGTGCCCAAAATAAATTGTCAGTGATGATAAACTGTAAGTATAAGATACGGCAGAATTAATTTCTTAAATAGACGAGGTTAATTCTACTTGATTTGCGCATGCATTTTCACGAAGCGACGTTTCAGCGATGTTAAAATGACGTCAAATTGGGCTAGAATGCACAACTGCTGGTAAAGTAGTCCCCCCTTCCACGTAAAACAGCGTTGTGTGTTTAAAAAAAATAAAGGATGGAGAGAAATTTCTTTCTTGGTGTAAGATTTATTTAATTTTGAGAAACAATCATTTGTTGATGCTATGTAAACGCACTGCGACTTGTAAACTATGTAGTTGGATAAAAATTTCCTATTTGTGTGTTTTGATATGCCCTCTTTCCACTACAATAAAAGGCTCCCCCGTTTTTCCTTTTCCTTTTTTTTAAAATGAGGAATGAAAATTGCCTGATATAGGTGAAAAACAAAACATTTCACGGATTATGTTTACTTTGTCAATTCCTTTGTTTATTTGGTAGTTTAGTATATAATTGTGTCTAAAAACAGGGAAAATGGTCCATATTTTGAAAGTGACCCCATTTCCCTAAAAATGAAGCCTCGTGATTTTATACAACTGCAGATCTGTAGCCTGCTGGTTTATGAAACTGATACGAAGACAAATTTGGCTTTACAAACTTACAAGATTGGATTTACAAATTAAGAGGAAATAGACACATCTTCCCTGACTTTTACTTCTAATACCGTTGGCGTTGAGCCGGGCTGCAGGTTGAACAGACGGCATTTTTGCTCACAAGGGTGCGTTCGATAGTGAACGCTCATATTCGGAATGTTTCGGGGCACAGTGACACATTGTCACCATGGTCCTGGTGCAAAAAAGACTAATTGAACACTAACATCGTTTAGAGTTTTGATTGTTTCTTTACACAATATTTATTATTATTATAAATATTATTCATTGGCGTCGGAAAGAAATTGAAAAAAAGGGGAGAGGCTAATTGAAAGAGAAAAAAATTAATCCTGAAAAAAAAAACTTGACAAACCAAAAAAGTAAATTCTCCAAACGAAAAAAAATCTTATTTCTATGGGGAGGTGGTGAGTAGAATTAACGTCTTTCAGTACCATTTTTTCTTTCACCCTATCGCTTACCCTTCTTTGACTACACTGAAACCTCTGCTTGTTGAAAGGGGGGCTTAAACCTACGCCCCAATGTTCAATGCCTATATTGTTTATATCTGTGCAAAAAAGCCCACCCCTCCGGTTTCGATGCCTATGTTCTTATAAGTATTATATAATTGTCCGTTTCGTGCAAACTGCATAGGCACCATTACACATTTTTCATAAAAAAAAAATAATGACCCATACCTTATTATTCTGCTATTAAAAATATATAACGTCAAGTGCCTGTGGTTCCGTGCTGTATAAATAATTTGTTCTTTGCTCTTTCATCTCATTCCCAAGCCCCGGAAAAATGAAATGTTTCTGAAACCAAGTTTTTTATCTTAGTAATAAAACCCGGGGCTCCTGGATTTTCTCCAGTGAGGTGCGAAACCAACTAAACTACTTGGCCACAAGCAATCCATCTAACTACCACATCCCTCTCTTCTTAAAAATATTCGCCCTCTTAGATGCCAACCCAGGATCACCCCTGCGGTGTTCCACCTGTATTTTCCAGGCAATGGCATGGCACCAAATATTGCAGGAGAGAAGAAAAATACGATTGACGAGGGTTTTATATCAGTAATTTTCTGTCGATACATGCATTGTTTTTATATGATTTAAGTGAGTAAATACTCCATTTCTTTAAATTTAAATTAGAAAGAAAATAAATTTTAATATTGTACCACCGTCATGTGATAACAACACGTATGTGGTAAAGTTAACGAATGTTTACTGATATACGGGATTACTAATGTGTTTCCGTGCTTGACAAACCAAAAAGTCAAATACGAGTGTGGATTGTAAAAAAACCCCAGAATATCACATTTATATATTTTACTGACAAGCGCAAGCGCTAAAATTTATTTGCGCCAATCCATTCCCACTTGCGTTTGCTCTAAAATATGTATGCGCCAAATTTTCTCGTTTTACAGTATGGCCGTGAGGAACCGGGGGCGGGGGGGGGGGATAATTTGAATTGCTGATATTTAATATACTATAGGGAACAAACAGTTTACTATAGAAAACATGTAGTAATACGATAGAAAACATAGCTACATTTGTATAATAATGCTCGTGTCCCCTCAATTGAAACGTCTGATGACCTTTTTGTTATTGCTTGTCAAGGAATGAATGTTTGGTAGTTGCAATGTGATAGTGCCCCCTTCTGAAACGTGTATGGCTGTCCATAAATAATACTTCAAATTTACCACAAAACTATTACTGTAATTGGAATATAATAAAAATAATATTTAAAAAAAAAAGAATGAATGAACTAAAGCTCAAACACCTCGTGTTTTATATTATCTTAACAGAGCTATAAGAAGTTCTGATCTGATGATTGAGACACTGTTCATCGTAAATCTGATTAAATAATTTTATTCTAACTTCTGTAAATAAAACCTTTCTCGCTTATATTTTTTTCTTCAATGAATACACTGCTCAAAATTTCTGAGCTAGATATATTAAACTCAAGTGTCCTGTTTAACGTGTGTAACTTCTTCTCCCGACACAAATTAGCACATTCCTCCTAGCTGTTATTCTAGTCAGCGCCGCAACACATGACTTATTTATTCATGTTATTCTACCACGATTATTCAAAACATGAAAGGAAGCCGTCGGACATTATTCTCCAATAGATCACGAACGTCATCAAAAAATGATCAGATCAGAAACATGTATCAAATTAAAAAAATTCAAATGCATGTTTGGCTGTAGAATGAAATACTTGTTAAGACCGCATCGATATGTCGTCTTTATAAGAAATAAACACTGTAAATTTCATAAAGTTGCTGATGAAGACGGTTTTTATAGCTAAGCGGGGCTATTCCACAGACCTCCCTACACATTAAACAACGTGATTTTAGCAGTAAAACAGGAACATGGTTTTGTTATTGTAATTCGTTTTAACTGATCAATACATATAACGAACAAATTTGTAATTTAAAAAAAGCTATTTTCAATGTAACGAAAGCTCAGATCGTCTGCATTCCTAACACAGGTAAGCAAACAAAGTGTACTTCTGGTGTTAAATAAACCAGCGTAATCGAGACATGGTGACCTAATTCGTTTCTCTATAGAGGAAACGATCAGCCGTATTCATCGGTCTTGAATTGAATAATGTCCTTGTTGTCGTGAATGATGCAGAATAACCTCCTCGGTCTCGGTATGTTGTTTGAAATATAAAAGCCTCGGCTAACGCCTCGGCTTTTATCTATAACAACATTTCTCGACCTCGGAGGTTATTCTGCAACATTCACGAAAACGCGGACTTTATTTCTTAATTAGATGCAGTAGATCTGTGTGTTTTGCTTTTCAAAATACTTCCGTGTCAACAAACATAAATCCAACATTCAATTTTTTTTAGATTCTAGGAACAAGGAAGCAGTAGACAATCAATAAATCAATAAACAAATCGGTCAATCAATAAATAAGTGAATTCCTCATTGAACATTGAATCGGGTATCATCCGTGAAATTAGGGTATAACTATCTTCTAATTTGTTGCGACCGTTAAATCAGCATTAATGGTCGCAAATACCAAAATAGAAGAAGGTTATTTCCATTCTAATGCAATTCACGCATTTTGTTTGGTGTTTACGTCTTATTTTGTTGATTTCTTTACATGAAATACGTCACGGGGCATAGTGTTTTTGCCTTGCTCTTTTATGACGTCACAATGAAAAGTTTCCTGCCTCGATAATGCTCGTTTTACTGCAGTGCATTACCCAGTCAAAAGGTGTCTTACAAAATAATTGCATTAGAATCAGGTATAATACCCGATATTAGGGTATCGTTGAATCCTCAAAATCGGGTATACCGTGCAACTTTCTGTAAAAACAAAAAACAAAGCAACAACGCATTATGCCAGTTAGTGTTACGTGCACATCAGTATCTTCAGATTTTATTCTTATTGAACCAAATTTATATGGTAGTCTTACAAGTTTAAAATCACATGACCAACACACTGGTGCTCGTGGACAGGAACCCCCTACCCCCACGAATATATAACCCGGGTCCAAAGATATTTTTATTCATCTTTTTCATAATTTTTTTTCTTTAAGTGCACATTTACAATGTATTCCATGCTTCTGATTGATTTTGTGTGCAAACACAGAAGAATCCCCTATACACTAAGCATGGAAAGAGTTCAAATTTTGTGGTACTTATATGCAGTTAGAATTATCTGCCCTTTTGATTTGATAGTAAAAAAAATTGGATTCTGCAATGAAATGACCTATTGTAATCAGTTCAAGTATTCCTGTTTAAGTAAGAATCGGTTATATAAATCTCAAATACTTTGTTGTCTTTTGATTTTTTTTTTCTGAAAAAGAGTGAATAGGAAAAATGACATTTCATCTTTTTTGCTGTAATTTTCTTTTAAAAGTCTAAAAGAAAAAAAAAAACAGGAGTGTGTAAAGTATATTACAGTTTGTCAATTTCCTGTTTTAGGCCGGTTGACTCAATTTCTACTTTCCTTCAACAAATATCACTGAAATAAACTGACATATTTCCATTTCTAATTGTTTTCTCTGTGGTAACTCTTTGAAAGTTTTCGGAGCTTATTTCTTGATAATTCTGCCGGAATGTAAATTAGGCAGGTCGATAGGTCAGGAGCTAATGAGGCCTAATACGCAAGCAAATCTTGTGCGCATTTGTCTCTTTGTCTGACGCTAAGCTAGGAATAGGATGCCAAATATGCATGTAAATCTCGTGCAGCTGCCTATGTGTTTTTTTTCAGT